ACAGCAGTTTTTCCTACAAGATCTTTGCCTTGTTCAGAGCATTTATGAGCGAATGTTCCTTTAGTGACTAACGATCCCGTGGGATTTCATTATTTATTGCATCCCTGCAGGTTATTTACTGCACCCTGTCAGATATTCAGATACTGCTTTCAAGAGAGAAGTGCTAACCTCCCTATGGACTTTTCTGTGCAGGCCCATATGAATGCTGCGTATGCATTAACACATATTCATAAGAGCCTTGTGATGTGAGGATGATTGTATTGTTCCTGCTTTACAGATGAGAAAAGAAGGCCCAAAGAAGTTATGTTAGAAAACACCTGATAATTTTGAAAAATACTGAAGAACTCATATTTTAGAGAGTTCAGCATTTGTGGGCACTTTGGCTCAGGACAACGTTTAGTGACCTCAGCTGCAGCTGCTACTGCAGAGCATTTCTGCAAATCAGACACTAGGGTCTCACCGAGAAAATGAGGAACACTTAGTAAGTGACCACCTGCGAAAGTTTGTTCAAAGGGACTTGCCTCGCATCATTTGGGAACTCTGTGGTAGAGACAGGGTCACAACCCACTTCTCCAGGGTAGCATTCAGCTGCTTAAACTTTGCGAGCATCCTTTCTCTTCCTTATTTACTGGGTAGTTCGTAACTTCTGCAACAGATGAGGCAGCGTTCCTGCAGATGACAAGCCTTCTTACAGGGCAAGTCCTGCTTTGCCCCAGCAGTACTTGGTCACAGCATGTGCTGATGGAAGAGTGTGCTTACAGAAGTGGGAAGGATCAAAGCTCATTCCCCCTGCTCCAGGTCCTCCAGCTTCGGGTGATGAAGTCTAAGAATTTTTTGAGCATGAATGAATTGAGGAATTTCAGTGGCTGGCAACTTATCTAAATTTGGATCAGTTTTTATGGGATAGAACAGAAGCCTGTCCTCAACACAGCTTATGCTTCAGCTAAGCATAAGGCAGTTATTTCTGTTGTGATTTGCATTTATGGACCTGTCTTAACATATATTTAAAATTGACCTTGAAAGCAGGCAAGAATTACAGGATCTCCTCCAGGCTGTTATAACTTCTTGACATGGGATGGAGTAAACCTTGATCTCTAAGGGTGTGCATATGAATTGTGTAATGGCATTGTTGTGCTTAATTTAATTGAGCATTTCCAAATTCCTTGAATCTAAAAGTTACTTAAATCTCCAACATACATTTTGCATTGAAAATAAGATTGTGGCCTAAAATGAGAAAAGTGAGAGAAACATAGATCTAAAGTGTGATTTGGTTTGAAGATGGATGTGGCAGTGTTCCTCATTTCCCTTGTTGCAGCATATTAGTAATTTAATTTGCAAGCCTATTTATATTTATTTCTGTGAGGTGTCTGACATCTTTCTGAGGCACTATTAGAATAAGACTACTTCTTAACCATGCAGTAAGGAACCAGGAGCTCAACTTGTTTGATAAACATATGCTTAGTTTTAAGTTAAAATATGCTTCTGATTAGGCATGAATGAAAGACCACATCTGAGTGTTTTCTGGAATTGGATCCCTAGCTCTGAATACTCCTAAGTGAACTTTAAATAAGTTACTTTATATTAGATCTCTCACATCTTTCATTTAGATTCTTGTATATGATGAAATTAAGTAGTTAGCTGGCCCACAGCTTAATAGCAATTTCATTTAATGTTGGAAGGCAATTTGAAATCTTAATTTTTAAACCCATTATTTCATTTCTCAGTCCAATTCATGTTTTTATATACTTGTACTAGAATAGCTAAATAGCTAAAAATACATCCTAGAAAACTTAAATGAGCTAGACTCACTGAGCTCCCATTGTAGGTGTGGATTGGGGGAATTCTATAGAAGACATTTATATGATGATATATGTAAGGCTAAGGTGTGGTGTAACTGTCAGCTCTCTTGCTTTTTAGTTAATTTTAGTAATAAAAACACAACATACTAGCATTTAGCTGTCTTTTTTTGCAAGTTTCCTTTTTTTTATTTGATTCTGTGAGCATGTGTGACTGATGAGTGGAGAGGGATTAACAATGTGGCCGACTCAGCCATTCCTATTCTTTATCTTAACTGATCTTCTTCTCCTCTTACATTTAATTTCTCTGTTTTCTAACCATTGACCCAGAGAAACGTAGGAAAAAAAAACTTCTGAGAAAATTAGCTTTTTGTTTTTACCATTTCTTTTACCTCAAAAAAAAATGGAAAGGAGTAGAATGCAATTGTGCAATTGTGCAATAGCCAAACCATTGCACAATTTCATTTTAAATTTAAAATCATAAACTACTCAGTTTCAGAAAATTCTATTTCAAAGTTTCCAAGCCAGGAAATAATGTTACTAACATGCCTCCTACCCTACCATCAAGATACAGGATTTCTTTAACACCAGTTTGTAAAAATCCCCAAGGCCTAAATGCTTTTTCAGTACTTCCCTGATAATAATAGGAAGCATTTATTTGCTAGTCATAGCACTTTATGCCCACACAACTGTGTGTATCACCAAAGCATAAAACTCCATTATTTTTTTTTTAGTTGCCTTCAGAGCAAAGTAGTCAGATAAATTGTATTAAAAACAAATTCTTATACTGCTCTGCAGGGCCTTAATATGTATTTCTCTTACAAAAAATTCAACAGAAATCTGATCTCATTCTGCTTCCTCAATAAAGATAAAATGTGTTGATTAATTTGTAATAGGACAGTTGTAACACCAGTAACAGCAAACTGTCTTTGGCTTTAAGTAGTTTTTGCCTTTTAATTACTTTTATTCAGAGCATTTGACTGTAAGGTCAGACATGTCTCCAGCTCAACCAGATCAATAGGTTACCTCTCCCAGCTATGTATGACCATCCTCCTCCCAACACCACAGCTTCCTGCTTTCCACATATCTATTTTCAAACCTACTACTCTTCCTTCTCAGCCCTGTGTAGGAAACACCTGTCTACCTCCTAGGGAGAGTAGACTTAATCTAGAGTTAATCTAGACTTAATCCAGATTTCTCACCCTGAAAATGGAAATCTAGTTAGCAACTCAAAAACTGTCATGCTTTTGGTGGTTACGTACTCTAAGCATTTTCCTAACTTTGTGGGACCACTGATGGTTACCTGCATGAGAAAGGTGTCAAGATCAGGTCTGATTTTGTAAATTCCTTCAGAAAAAACAGAGGACATATTCACTTTGTAATCAATCTGGTCTATTGCACATTGCAGAATTTGGGCAAGGCCCAGATTTCCTTATTTTTAGTTAAGACAAATATATCTGCAGCAGGAA